TAATCCTTTCTCACTTGCCTTGTTACCAACAAGCAGAACTAGAGTACATATTTTGTAAACTACGAATATTAGGGTGAAAAAAATCTACCAAACAAGAATTAAATTTCTTCTTTAATTTTAAATTTTTATTTTTAAAATCTCTATTAGATTTTTGTTCCATTTGTCTAATTGTAGCTATCTCTCATTTTAATAGTGCTTGTTAGAATCACTTATTGAAGTATATATTAGAGAACTGTTGAAGTTTGAAAGAATCTGATTGGAAAGCATTTTTTGAGGGTGTTAAAGTTTTTTGATCGACAAATGGTGTTGACATTCCAAACTTAGATAATTTTTATAAGGTGGGGGTTCTCATGGACATGCCACAATTAAACTCATTACCACTTTGACATCGTTACCGAAACGATTGATTTCATTTGGATGGAGTTAAATATATAGTTTAATGATACCTTCGTTGAACTTCTTTCGCTAATTGTAGGTTTAGATCCTAAAAATTCTTTTGAATTTATTAGTAGTGATGATATTTGCAAGCTCGCAAGAAAATTCTACTCAAAAGATTTACAACTCAAGATATTGTCACTTTGAAATATGAGTTGATTCATTATAAGCATAATGTGCTTAAGAATTTTAAAGCATCTATTCTCGCTAAATTTTGCCAGAATTGACAGAGAGTGGTAGATCGAAGGTGTATGCTATTAACTAGATTGATTCTTTTAGTTCTGACGTTATGATTGGTCGGAAAAAGTGTGTATTCTATATATTTATTAGCGTATTTTTATATGCTTAATTTTATCACACATATATATTTTTCGAGTTATTTATTTCTTCAGGTGGATCTGGTGCTTTCATATATTTATGTTTTATTTTTAGGATATTGGAGTATTTTTATGGAAGACGAGACGTTGAAGAAGGATTGAAAGCAGGCCAGTACTGAGGTACCCCATACTCTGCCCTACACATGCTCAGTTTTGGACCCAAGGATGAATTAATTAAAGGTCCAATAGTGGACTAATTATG